AACTGAGCCCACTTCGATCTCGCAAACCATATAGTTCCCTTTTTTGGGTACAATCTGTGCCAGTTAACGATGGAGATGGCAATCATCGTTCGTGCTAAGCACCCCTTGCAGCAAATACACTACTTCTGGTAGTAGGAGCTCAGCCCTCCAATGGCAGGGTGTCATTAAGACGGCCACCCCAGATCATATCAGTCTCCCACCCGCGGCTCTGGGACCGGGACTGACACAACGCCGAGACCGTAGCCCAACTTAAGATGCGATGACGAACAACTGACTTGGACGGAGCCGGCGCTGCCCCGGCCGAATTTATCGACTCTCCATTCAACCACCAGGCCGGCGTTTCAGGCACCGTGCCGTACAACGAAGACCTGATTAGCTTAATTCCCGCCCCGAAACTTGGGCAACCTCTGTGGTACTCCCCCTGAAGGTCTGTAGCTATCTCTTCCAAAGCTCGCCGCCTAACCAAAGGTGCGATCGCTATCAGGCGTCTTGGGAAGTCACCTGTGTTAGTTCTCGTCATGGATTCTTCAGGCATAAACCTCAGTGACTCCCGAGTTGCGGGCCGACTCGCCTTCTTTCAATGCCAACAGCTGGCGCAGGGATTGGCGCAGATGTGAAGAGGGAGGGACAGAGGTTGGTATTGCTCGAAGTGATCAAAGCATAATGCCCGCATTGTTCAGAGCAATGGGAATCCGATACGCGATGGAGATAAACCATTGATCGGCTCACTATAATCATCATCCGGGACCATTCCAATGAGGAGAGGTCGTAGGAGATACCTAGGTGTGCCGGAGCGGAAAGTGCATAGGATACGGATACGGTGAAGAGAACCGGTGCTGAGCGGCCGTGTTGCTTTTGCGTAATGAGGGTTGGAGCGCGCGGGGGCGTTGGGTGTGTGAGGTGCCAGGAGTTTAGTGCTGGCACGAACCCGGAAGTGGTGTGGTGCAATGCCCGCGCAGTGGCGTGGGCCCAGGGTCTGGTCAGTGCTCGTGTGATATTGGCTACAGGGGCAAGAGGGGCTGGCTGCATGGGGAACGATAGAGAGCCTTGGTTGATGGGTCTGTAAACGCTGGAGCTAACATTGGCCCTGCCTCTGTTGCCTTGAGTAGATACAATTTGTAATCAAAGATACATTGTGCAAACTACCTTGCACTGAGATTCGGAACAGAAAGCCACGTGCCACCTGCAACCTGCGAGGCCGTTCCGGCTGTCCCACATCCAGTGCTGTGCTATTCCGCCCCGGCCCGGCACCGTAGCTCCAATGCCCCCCCCGGTGCCCGGAGTGGACCCCCCGCTTCGGCGGCCGTTCTCGACTTAGCCCCATCCCCACAGCGCGCTAACGTGAAGTGGTGATTGAAGAGCAGACTTTTTTCGCAGCCCAGCGTCGAGCCCCACGTCTTGTTCTACTTCAACACGGTTTAGTCCCTCCTGCAGAGCACGCCTCATCACGGACAGTCGCTGCAGCTGTCGCTAGGTCGTGATTCCCGCTCTTCTTTTCCATTTTTAAACGACTACAGCCCCCGCTCGCCTGTCTAACTCCAAGGTTGAAACTGTCGGCAACTTCACTTATCACACACGTGTGAAGCAGTCAGCCGCTCCGCTCAACGGTTTTCTAGTACATATGTACTCCTCGAAATCAGCAGTCCTCGACTTTACCACTTCTTCGGCGCACGACTTGGTGTGCCGAGCCTTACATCACTAACCGATCGGCAAGCGACTTGAAGTCTTTGCGCTTGCTCAAGGGGTCGTAAGAAAGACTTAAACGCGGCATCTCACTGTGTGCTTCTGCGTAGACCATCAATCCTACTCTCCTGCCTCTGGAGTGCCCTGTGCCTCTGACCAAGACCCGGTTCAGGCTTTATGCTCGGCGAGCGCGGATTCTTGCAAACCATCCACGAACGCACCGTCGCGGTACTCACCTTCGTCAGGCGACCCGCCCGCGCCCAGGGATATCAGTCCCTCAACACCTCCGTCGACGAAACCATGACCGCCGAGACGCCCTCCCCGGCCAATGAGGTCATCTTCGCCAAATCGGGCGCCGAGGATGCCAACTATGGCACCACGACGCGCGTCTCTTCCTCATCCTCTGACGCCGAAGCCGCCGCAGTTGCCGCAGGCCTCTCGGAGATCGAGGCGCGCCAAGTGCGCTGGTACTCGTACCTCCTGACGGCCGACTTCTGGCTCATCATCTTCCTCGGCCAGATCCTGTCGCTCTGCATCACGGCGACCAACACCTTCACCAGCTTCCTCGCGGAAGCTGGTACCAACATCCCCGCCTTCCAGACCATCTTCAACTACGCCCTCCTGACGCTCATCTGGCTGCCCATCACGCTGTGCCAGCACGGCCCGCGCAAGTTGGGCTCGATCGTGCTGCGCGACGGTTGGAAGTACTTCATCCTGTCCTTCCTCGACGTGGAGGGCAACTACTTCACCGTGCTGGCCTACAACTCGACCAACATCCTGTCAGCCCAGCTCATCAATTTCTGGTCCATCGTCTGCGTTGTCACCCTGTCCTTCTTCCTGCTACACGTCCGCTATCGCTGGCTGCAGATTGCCGGCATCCTCCTCTGCTGCGGTGGCATGGGCCTGCTGCTGGCAAGCGATCACATTACGGGCTCCAACGGCGGGCCGGCCAGCAACATGCTCAAAGGCGACCTCTTCGCCCTGCTCGGCGCCACCCTGTACGGCGTTAGCAACGTCTTCGAGGAGTGGTTCGTTAGCAAGCGGCCCGTCTACGAGGTGCTCTCCTTCCTTGGCGTCTTTGGCGTCTGCATCAACGGCGTCCAGGCCGCCATCTTCGACCGCAACTCCTTTGAAGGCGCTACCTGGAACAGCCAGGTCGCCGGCTGGCTCGTCGGCTACACCCTCTGCCTGTGCCTCTTCTACTCAACAGTCCCGCTTATACTGCGCATGGGCAGTGCCGCCGTCTTCGACGTCAACCTTTTGACTGCCAACTTCTGGGGCGTCATTATCGGCACCCGCGTTTTTGGCTACGTCGTCCACTGGATGTACCCCATCGCCTTCGTCCTCATCATCTGCGGCCTTGTCATCTACTTTTTGGCCGGCAGCATCCTGGGCGACTCCAAGAAGCCCTGGCTGGGGGATAACCAGAAGGACGGCGTTGCCGGGATCGGCACGGCCAAGTTGAAGGCGCTGAACGAGGCCCGGAAGAAGGGTCTCGCAGGGGGGACAGAGGGGCAGGCGTAGTAGTGTGTTGTGCTGCTCTGACGGTTAAAGGTGGAATTTCTTGTGGTCTCATGGACCAATATCTTGTTTACTTCTTGGACATCATCTTGGATGTATGCTCGTTTGATTGAGATCTGGACCAATACTGTTTGGTGGCTGTATTGTTGGTTGAGAATACAGGGTTAGGGTAGTAACCAATCGATCTGCCTGCCTGAGCTTTTGCCCGTTCTTTGACCCCGCCTACCTCAATAAAGGGCGAGGTACTCGACCAACAACTCTGTCTGAGGCCATTGTAGTCCAGAATCCCGGGTGACTCACCAACACCACTCTTTGTTTGCCTCACAATTGCATAATCACCTCAGCAGATTTCAATTTTCAGCTTCAACAACTACTATTTTGGAAATTTGAAACCGTAACCGCAACTTAAAGTGACAATGACAGGCTCGACTCTTTACTTTGCCTTCGGCAGCAACCTCTGGAAGCACCAAATGTCCCTCCGGTGCCCGTCCTCCCCCTACGTCGGGCTGGGCCGCCTGCGAGGATACGAGTGGTTCATCAACGCCCGCGGTTACGCCAACATTGCCCAGGCTGCCACCAGTGACGACAATGACGACAACGACGACAACACCCCAAAGGTGGTGAGTCCCCAAGAGACGCCGAACCGCAACTTGAATCAAGACAGTAAACCATCTGAGCCTGAAGTCTGGGGTCTCGTTTACGCCCTCTCCGCGGCCGACGAGGCCCAGCTCGACGTCAACGAGGGCGTGCCATACGCCTACGAGAAGCGGATGCTACCCGTCGAGTTCTGGACCGCGCCAACAATGTCAACATCACCATCATCACCATCACCAGAAGCAGAGACCGATCTACAGGCTGCCGGCATAAAAGGACGAGGAAGAGGCGAGGAGACGCTCATGCTCGTTTACATCGACTTTCGGCATAGCGCAGGGGGCCACCCGCCGCGCGCCGAGTACGTGCACCGCATGAACATGGGTATCCGCGACGCCCTGGCCGAAGGGGTCCCCGCGCCATACGTGCGCCGCGTCCTGAGGGAGTACATCCCCTCTGACGAAGAAGAAGAAGAGGAGGAGGAGGAAGGGGGGTGGTCCGAGCGGAAGGCGGTCGCGCTAGAGCAGGCCAGGGGATTCGTTGACGGGCGAGACGTAGTCGACCGACGGCGGGCTACTAGGGTCCCTGCCGCTGCCGCTGCTACGCCAGTCGGGTCTGGGGTGGTGTCAAGTGTAGAAGGGGAGACGGGTATGGACGAGGCGGAAGAGGAAGAGTTACCAGAACGGGCGAGTGGGGTGTGTTATCTAAAACATTTTGGGTTCTAACGCTAGCGGCGGGCTGATAGAAAGGCAGTGGTGGAAGTGGAAGTGATGGAGGCGAGCGGCGTCAACCCTAAGATCCACCTAAATATCCAGCCGGAACTCCAATATCGGGGCAATTTCAAAGCTCCATCTGATGGAGGCAGCTGTCTAGCTGCGATAATCAGTAAACTGTGTATGGATGAGATTCACGAATATACCACCCACAGTCCTAGGACTGCCTGCTCAATAGTGAAGAAACTCTTTAAGGGTTTATAACGGTTAGCCTCTGCTTATATATCAACCGACGCACGGTAGAGTTGTGCCTCTGATTGTAGGTTGAAAACAGAAAGTTGCTGTTGGACGATGGTGAACAGATTACTTTCATTGTGGTCCGTCATATTATCCAACTCGTACAATGACAAGGTCTGACGCAACATTCGCACCAAAAGATGTGAAGCTGGAAAAATCCATTTACGAAAAAAAAAATAGACGAAAAAAGTCATATGCCCACTATCAGAATCGAACTGATGACCTTGTCATAGACCAATACTAGTGACACGCTCTACCACTGAGCCAAGCGGGCTAATAAGTCAAGACATTTGGTTATTGTCAGTGTGTGGCATCATGTAGCTCACAATAAAAATATGAGCTGCGTCTGTTCACTACTTTTGTCATGATAACTCAAGGGAATCTTTAGCAAGCACACCACAACCACTATCCAGCACACAGCTATACCTGTTTAGTCTAAGCGCAAGCGTCACCTTGCAGCAGGTATAATTAGAAAATCCTTCACAGCTGCCAGCCTGGCAACATTCAAAATGCATCCTTCGACGAAGCACCATACAACAATATCACAGCCAAATTCTGAGGTCACCAAATACAGAACTTAATCCGCAGCGCCTACGACAGGTTGGAAGGCATTTGTACGAACCCAATACAACGATGCCGCGAATCTCTAGACGATCATTGGGCTCTGATGCTCTGCATTCTGACGTTAAGATGACCACGATCCGGCGCTAGCGGCGGCCAAAGTAGCTGTCTGAAAGGGTCACGAAGCTGAAGTTGCTATAGGAAATTGGCCAAGCGACGGCGGAAGCAACTGATGCTTCGATGTATCGTTAGGATGTTTTAAACCATCAGAATCAAGCTAACTATTTCCGATACACGTGGTTGATGCTGTTAATGCCATGGATGTCGTTGTGGTTGCTGCGGCGGCAGAGTGTCTGGCAATTGTCAGGGGATTCTGGCTGTACCTGCTGCGAGGTGACGCATGCGCTTTTCCCAACCAGGTAACTATAGCTGTGTGCTGGATAGTAATTTTGGTGTGCTTGCTAAAGATTCCCTAAATCTATTTCATAACAAGGCAATCAACCAGGTTGACTGAATGCCTGCTACAGTTCAAGCTGTGTTCATCAGGGATGTTTCATACTCGTTCACAGGTGGTTTGATGAGCGACATTCACCACATTCCAGTCAGTTAAATCTGTAGCTATAAGTTTGGTCCATCGATTCAGAGCTGAATGATCCAAGAGACCGTGACTATCCTCGCTAAGCGTAGACAATGCTTGCCCCCAAGTTGTAGCTTTGCCCCCTGCCCAGCCTCAACCCACTACAATGCCCCAGCCCGGGAGTAGCTATAGATGAACTGTTAAAACTATGGGCATGCACAATGCTGTTCCCTCTTGTCATTTCCGCTCGCGTTGATCCTCTACTGGAAACCAGACCAGACGTTACCGCCAGGGGGAGTGTAGCTGGTGCGGCCACCGTTATAGATGTCAACCTAGTGTTTTCATGTCCGAGTAAGCAAAAAGAGAAAGCACGGCCAAAACCTGATATTTGAGCAAGGTGTCTCTCACCGTGATGCCAGGGTCGTTCTGGGGAGCATAGACGGGGATGCTGTAGAGGTAGTCGGACGGCGGGGTGGCGCTGCCGCTGCCCGAGACGACGATCTGGGCGCACTCGGCGTAGAATTGGGGCGTGTTGGCCTGGTGCAGGGCCAGGAGCTCGTGGCGGATGAGGTAGTTGCCGGGAGCGAGGTTGGAGGGGATCTTAGAGGTCCACTTAAGGTTCCTGAGGACGAGGGCGGTGCCCCAGTTCTCCGAGTTGAGGCTGCTACCCACCAGGCCGTACTGGTCGATCTTAAACCAGCCCTTGCCCTCGCCCTTGCACGACGACCCGAACGCGCCCGGGCACTTGTACATCCAAACCATGACCGGGCCCTGCGCGTGCGTCCACTGCTTCCAAACGGCCGTGATGTTCTGGCCGGCTGCGATGGGCGCGCTCAGGGCGGCGCTGCTGCCGCCGTTGCAGCGCATCTTGATGTCGGACACAGTCATGGTAGGATCGTAGTTGGGCCACTGAAACTGGATCGTGGGGCGGCTGAGCGAAGGGTTGAAACCGTCATAGCCTGGGTACTCGGTGCCGCCGATGATGTAGCTGGTCACGGCGCCGTGCCCGGCAACGAGCGGCGCAAGAACAAGCGTGGCAAGAGCGTCGAACCTCATCTTGGGCTGCTGTTGGCTTATTAGGGCTAAGTATACCAGTCGTAGTGCGGAGTACACTTTCTTTCAAAAACCAAAGAAGACAAGGTGAGTAGTGCAAGGGATTGGCAACAACAACAACAACAACAATAACGAAGAGAGAAGAGGACGAGCACGGGGAGGATGCGCTTGAATATCTTATACCCCTTTCGAACCCTGTAACCTGGAGGCAGGTATCCCGGTTTCCGGGACGGGAAGGCCTTGAGGTGTCAACTACCGGCAGCTTCGGCTTTTCCTTAGGCGTCACGGATCTTTGAAAGGTGGGCTTGTTGCGGGGTGTAATCTGAACATTGAGCGAATATTTTAGCTCCCGCGAGCCCTGAGGCCATTCCCAGCGCTCTCCCTCTTCCGAGATGCATGGGGAGGGAGACATTGGCGGCTTGCGGACCGACGGGGCCTTGTTCTAAGTTAGGCGGTCCATGCGAATGACAGGTCGGGAAGGGCCCAGAACATGGAAGAATGATCAAGACCGATTAGAGTAAGCGGCCGTACCACAGTTGAAGCAAGTGAGAAGATGCGAGTTAGAGGGCCAAGGCCTCGAGCACACTACGCTAGTGTGCGACGTCCTGTGACGGATGGTCCCCACAAGATCGTGCCGGTGGGATTTGACACTTGCCAAGGACAGATCAGGAAGCCCGGCGGTATGAAATCCGGGGAAAGAGCTTGAATTTCGTCGGCTGTACAGTCCACACCACGCTCGGCGCGTAGGCGATAGGGTGCCAGAAGGGTTAGCAAGACAGACCATGTGGAAAGCAATAAGATGGACCAATAACATGGTGCAGGTTATTCAGGATAAACGGTGAATAGATTACATACAGACGACCAATGTCCAGAACGTGATGGTGTGGGCGGCAGCAAGTGCTGGAATGAGAGTTGAGGCAGGCTGGATTGTGGTCACCTGGCGCGATGCAGTAACATCGCCTATTTTCGCGAGTCCAAAAGCTCCTGTAGCGTGTGGATAGTGAGAATTCTCCTGGGCACGTTACATGGGACTCAGTTTGCGCTCCGAAAATGAGAATTTTGGGAGAGACATTCTCAAATTCACCAGTGATGTGGCTTCGGTCTCAAAGTGTCACGGTATGTGGTTCCGAATTCCAAATCCGGCCGTGCGAAATACTACATCGATGCAGATTCAGACCAACCATTTTGGGCCTACCTAGGGTATTTGGATGTTGCAAGCGTTGTATTGGACTATTTACTGGTGAACTTTTGTCCTTCAATGTAGATGTTGAAGGAAATAGAAAGAGAAAGGGAGGGAGGGAGTCGAAAGAAGTACGAATAGCTATGAATAATTTAGGGAAGGAAAGAGATAAAATAAAATAGACTGGTCTCGAGAAACGGTTAGTCGTTTGCCATGTCCGACACTGCCCAGAGTCTTACTCTTCGGCACACTTCTGCCCTACATTTTTGAAAAATAATCGGCCGAAGCCTAGGTCCATGTCGGTAGCCGCTTGCTCTAACGGCGAACAGCTTTTACAATGCGGGTCCATGACTAGGGACGGAAGATCAGTTGGGAAACTGGGTTCTCGGGATCTCAACGGGGGTTTGAATCCGGGTTGGGGAGTGGGACCACATGAAGCCACCTGCAGCCATCAAAAGCTTGGCGCAGCTCGTGGGGGTTGTGGGGGTCATGATCCTCACCACAGCTCTGAGCCACGGCGAACATCACACAACTTACCTCCATAAATGGTAGCATGTTGTCGACGTCTTCTCCGAGGTTTCCCTGGGTTTTGTATCTATGTCTGTGATTGAATATTACACCAGTTTCTTTTTTCCTGAAAAAAACTGTAGGGCCCACGAAAGGGCCCGGGACGTGCATTTAAACGAAAGATGGCCCTCAAAACTATCGTACAGGGTTGGGAACTATCAATGTTAACGAAACATAGTAGGAACAATACGGCTCTAAAGATATCTAAAGATCCGTTTCAAGTTATTTCAAGGTGCGTAAAATCCTTTACCATTCGCCACTTTACGATCTCTAAGGGGCTGTACAATGTACGAAGGTAATAGGGTACGAAGTTAATGACGGGAGTAGAATCACTGAGTCAGAGAGCAAATCCTCGGTCTCTCCCTCCAGGCTCTGTATTCGTACCACGTTGCCAGCATCATGATTGGCTTGCTTGACAGCGACCCTGAAGCGGCACGAAGAATCGCTTTAACCCATCAACTACTCAACTGACTGGGTAACTAGATCAAATATTCGCTCTTACTTGTCGTACGATCTGGGGCCGTAAATGGCTCAGGCAGCCACGCAGGTCCATTTCGTCCCATTCATCCTTCCTTGCAATTGTGTCACTGGTGGACAGTGGTTCCTCAGTGTGATTCTGCTGAGATCTGCTGATGAACGAAGAATTGATCGGAGATGCCGTTTAGTGACCAAGGCATTGTTGGCGGCGCAGGGAAGAGGGCAATGTCTCTCGGGTTATGTCAAAGGCTGAAATTTGTGCATACCATTCATCGCATCTGCGACTTCCCGTTTTTCGCTATTGAGCATCAAACTCGAAGTCGCCACTGTATTCTGTGGCACGGGTAACTGCAAGATCTTCGGCTTGCTACTTTTATGCCAAAAACCCTCACAGGCCGTTGTGCGGATTATGATCCACCATTCGGGTTCTGAGAGTAGGTGTCTCCCTTCCTCTTGGAAACTCTTATTTCTCCCTGAGCTGCATCCTTCGCGATGCCGAACAGCTGCTCCGGCAAGGCCTTGGTCGCTACTCGGTCTGCCGACCACGGATATTGTAATCTCTTGCAATTGCGTTGAGGAGCTGGGAGTTAGCGGCTGACATTCTACAGCTGGCACGCTTCCCCAGGTCTGAACCAGCATGCCATCACCCAACCCCGATCTGAAAGATCGGCCGAGCGTTGAAAATCCAGCAGTTCCTCCTTCCGAGAACAAGCTCCAGATTTTCGACCAGGACTACCAGTACGCCGAGACCCTGCAGAACCCTCTACCCGAAGTTGTGCTGTCCTCGCCTGCGAGCACAGCTCACGGCACGACACCGACATCGCCAGTTGCACCCGAGGGCGTCAACGGCCCCAACGAA